GAAACATTACGATTCTTGTTCATTGAGGTTTATTTGATATAAGATTAGTAAGAAGTTTATATCAAAGTTTTTCTTTTCTTGGTTGCATGTGTGGAAAGTAAGATAAAAAGTGTGAATACAGGCAAGAACGGCCATGAGGAGTATAGTAGAGCCTGCCTCAGAGTTTACTAGGTCACTAAAAAAGGATGACCATGATGACTTTTTTCAGCTTTTGAAGGAGACACAAGCACAACAAGTAATAGTGAAACCCTAGGTTTTGTCCTCTTCCAGAGTACTGTCCTCCTTCCAGCTGCCCTGGATTCCCAGTGGTGGCATTCTGATGAGGGTGAATTTGGAAGACTGAGCAATCTTATCCAAGTTAAACAATTCTAACTGCATATTTCATTATTTTGGCACTGATGAGCACTACACATAATGCAAATGTGTTTCTCCTCTAGCAGAGAGGTTGGACTAGATGACCTTCAGAGGTCCCTTCCAACCTCTACCATTCTGTGTTGCTGTGAAATATGTTTCTCTTTCATTAAATTTTTGCCCCAAATCACAGTGGAGACCCTGTGCATGTTAATAGGTCAAACCTCTCTTTCTCCACTCTCACTTTAATTCATTTTGAGGTGATTACTGATCCTTTCATTTTAATACTTGGTGAATGTATGCGTTGGGAAAAAGTGAAGTTCGGCGTCCAGAGTTCGGCATTCTGATATGACACACAAAAAAATGTTTCTGAGCTGTGTTGGAGTTACTGTTAACCTTCCCAAGGTTGCAGATTAAGACTTTTTTACAGTTATGATCACAAAGACTTTAAACTTATCTCAAGGAATCTCTTGCTTTTATTGTGCATTTACTTCATTTTGTCAAAACCATTCACCATCTAAAGCAGAATCTTGTAGTTTCCATATGCCCTGTCCACAATTGGTTTTGATTTTCCTGATTTATTACCGTATTTAATATTTATATGTGATATACTGTGTTACTTTGCACATGGATGCTTTTTTTTTTCCCTTCACAAACATCTGATCTGCCATCCATCCTTTTGTAACACAATCAGATAGCTGGGGCCCTAATTGTATTTGTAATACTTGGAAGAGATTTGCACAAATGAAGACTCATCTTCAGTGATTCCTGTTGCAGTCTGATTGTTGGGAATCAGTTCCTACTCCAGTTCTTTGGCACATTTTTACATCCCTATCTTTCTTTGGACAGCATCATCACTCCTTCTAAACTAGAAATTTCTATAATATGGACTTGATCTGACTGCTCAAGGAAATTAGAGGTGGTACAATAAGTAGATTTTGTAGTTGAGGAGATGTTGCATTTCCCTGTGAGAGCTGGTCTAAGGACCAGTGTTTTTTCACAAGGAAAACCTAAATTCGCCTGAATGACAGTTGAGTAATTTCTGAGCCTTGTGTTTTTTCTATCAAGAAGTACTACCACGGCATCCATGACCTCTATGGACAGCAATTACCAGTAATAAGACGTATCATAACTGGGATAAATTAGGATTTTAATAGTAGAACTTTCTTACCATTCCGCTTGCTTTTTAAGCTTACTGTGTTAATCTTTTATTATTAATTACAGATACTTAAAAATCAAATAAATCTGACAGGCTTATCTTGAGAAATTCATAAATCTTACAGGATTACTCCTCTTTCCATGGAGAAGGCTACATTTTATCTGTAGCTGGCAGGGAGTTCTGCTGGTCAGGAAGACCGTGGTGAATGCAGACACTGAATTCAGACATCCTGAATTCTGGACTTGAGTCACAGCTCCAGGTTGCTCTTCCTGCTTTAAACAAGTATTTAATGTAAACTGGTAAATTAGTCACATGCTTCATCTCAGCCTCTCTTTAGATGAACTCAGCTCCTTTGAAGGCAGGTGACCTGCATTGCTTTTACTCTCAGAGAGTCTGCTATTCTTCCATAATTTTAGTAAACAAAAAAAACTATATACTTTGATGTTGTTATATTTTATTACTAACATTGGCCAGGCTATCTTGGTAGATCTCAGTCAAGTAAAGCATAATTTGTACCAGTGAAAATCAGAGTAGAATTAGCCATCAGCTCCCCTCCCAGCTCCACT